CGTAACCCGGTTCGAGGAGGAGCGGTCCAGCGGTCCAGGTTTGTGTGGTATAACAGTGCCCGTGCAAATGCACAGAACTATTAAAAATAAATAAAATAAGGATACATAAATAGGATAAATAATTTTTATATGCAATTAAAATAGACTACTATATACAATGTTTATATTTGTATATTTTATTTCTCATTATATATCAGTATCTTGTGTCTTTTTATTTGTAACTCTAGAAGCAACAATGTAAAATTCAGAATTAAAAACCTAAAAGTAGATTCCTATATATATATAAATTGACATAGTATTAACGAACTTTTTTTTTTTATTAATAGAACAAATTGACATAGTATTAACGATTTTTTTTATATAGTTTTCCACAAATTTAACGAATTTTTTTTCTAAAACCGTTATTTTTTTTAATGAAATAGAACGATGTGGACCAAAATTTATTGATAAACGAAAAGTTGAGTAACTAAATTGATTTAATTTGAACATCATGTACTAAATGCGCAAATATATATAGTTGGGATATAAGAAAATTCTCACATTATTTTATTATCTTACCACATTTATTATAGTTTGTTTGAATTTATCATGTAATTTAGATCATATTTTGACACTTGAATATATTTTTCTTACTTGTCTGGTTTTATAATATATAATGTAATCTTATTCATTAACTATTATTTTCTATACATATACTTATAATTCATTTATTTGTGAATCATTCTTTTATTTAAATAAATACCATATTATTATTTAGTATCTTCATATTTTTAGGAAGGCTTTAAATATAAATTATTATTTAATATACATCATAAATAATTCACCGTGACTCAACATATCATGTACATGTAAAAAAAAATTTTTACTTTTATATTAACGAGAAATCAAAACAAGCAAAACATTTTAAGATGCCTATCTACAAATGGTAATAACAAATTTAAGTCCAATTTTACTATTAGCTTATTATTAAAAATGAAAAAAAAAAATTAATTAACGGAGGTTGAAGCACGTTTAATAAAATAATAAAAAATTAGAACTAACCATAAATAGTAATATAATGAGGAACCCACTAAAACACTTACTATTTTTAGTAAGTGGGTTGCCTAATTATATAGTAATAGATTGGGCTGTGGTCCAAGCCAACCCAAGATTAGCGGCAGGGTAATTAAAAAAATGCGGGCCTGGCCCACTGAACCCGCGGACAGTGGCTGGTTGGGTTGGGCCTACTTTTCTCAAACTTCTAACATTCTCTTTTTTTGGTACAGGGACCTTTCGGTTTCTGGATCCACAAGGGAACCGACTAATCCAGAATCGAGTCGGGTAGGACCACAAGGGTGACAAAACTCTCCCTCAAGAGTTTTAACACTGCTGCATTCCCAGGGCTCGAACACGAGACCACTGGTTAAGCTGGAAGAGACCCAAGCCATCTCATCCAAGCGCTCTTGGGTAAACTTCTAACATTCTCTAACTCTGTTTTTAAACATCTCTAATTGCTCATTTGGAGTTTTGGTCTATTTATTGTAAATGGATTTAATGAGTTCCCTAATCAAGTATTTAGTTGCTTTTTAAAGTTTGATTGAATTTTTTAATTATAAATTGTAATTGACATTTATTTTTATGAAAATGTCTACCAATAACTTCATACCGATAATTATTAATATGCTATAAAAATTCTCAACCAAAAATCTATTTTATTTTACAAACTCTAGCGATTTTTTTTTTTTTTAATTCTAGATGTTGAAATTGAAATGTAAATAAATTAAATCACATAAATTTTTACTTAATTTTTTTAATGGTTACATGGTGACAGAATGTTAAATATTTAACAATATGTATTGATGAAATTTGGACAAATTAATATAACATAATTTCATACAGAATACCATAATTTTAAATTACCATTTTCAAATTAAAGAAATCATTATTACATGTACAATAAATAAACAAAAATTGTTGAGGAAAAAAAAAAACGGTGACTATCTCTCGAAATATATTGTCTCTATTTATAATACCAACTTAATTTATCGCAACAACTTATTTTGGAAAATATTTGTCAATCAATTTATATAATATAAAAAATTCCAAGAACTTGAGAATCACTTAAGAATTCAATTTCATTATTTATCTTACAACTTACTTAACAAACCACATATTTTTTCAATAATAAAAATGCAAATTATTGATCACTATGAATTTGTCAATCAATTTTGAAGCTTTAATAATATCTGCATAGATCAGTACGAATTTTAGAGATTATATTAACAAGAATTCTATTTGTTTTTAATGTCACACTAATACGTACCCCGTGCGATGCACGAGACAAAAATATTAAATGAGTTGTTTTCACAGCCTTGTCCGTTAAAGTCTAAAAATAATAGGGTAATTATCTATTTTCTACATCTTTTAATCAACATTAAGTCTAAAAAAATAGGGTTATTATAAGTTTTTTTCCACATCTTTTAACCAGCTTTGCTTTTTTAGCCAAAACATTAGATATGAGCATGTTATGGCTAGCTTGTAAAATGATTAATATATTATCTCACTAAAACATTTATACTAATAATAATTTAATTTTAGCGTATAAATTTATCCTTTGATATAAGAGAAACTAGCAGTTTTACTTATTATTGTTCACCATATGATATTTAATTATTATTTTATTATAATAAAAATGAATATTGTTAAATAGTGTAGTAGAATTGTTATAAAATTATATGAATTATTATTTTTTACAATATGGATTTAATACATCTTATGATTTGATAATATAAACAAATCTATACTTACCTTTAACTTTTCCAACAAAGGTAAAAAAATCGGTTTGATTTTTATCCCATAACAAATCTTTAATCAAACCTATAAATACTAAAACAAATATGTAATTAATGTCTTTTTATTTCTAGCAAGTATTAATTATCTTTGACTTTTCTGCCTACTATTTGTCTATTTCTAGTAAATATGATGACTTTTTATATAAGTATAGATTATTTTTTCGAATAATATTAAATTAATCGATTACTTTGTAAGAGAGAGAGAGAGAGAGATAATTACTTGACATAGCATTAAATTTCCGCTTAAAATTTTAAAAATTACTATTTATAGTTTTTTTTTGTAGAAAATGGCGGCTGGATGAAAATTCGAATTCAAATTATAAAAAAGGACAATGCTACACGTACCGCAGCTTGTACCGCAGTGTTTACACTTTGGTTGAAAAACGTATTCTCAGAATACGTTTCTCAATTAAATTATTTAAAAAACGTATTCTCAGAATACGTTTCAATGAAGGGTACACCATGCGGTACAACCCCTGCGGTACAAATAGCATTTTCCTTAAAAAAATGATATTTTGAAAAGATATTGTGTAAAACTTAATTCCTAAAATTATGGATAATGATTTCCTTAAATACAACGGGTTAATCTGGCCAATAATTTGAAAGGATATTGAAAATCTTGCTTCTAAAAATTCTAATAAATCTTTTTTTTTTATTTTTTTTTTTCAGTCAAACGTGTAAATTTGGTTACGAAAATCCGATCAATCATTTAAAGAATAAAATATTTGATTTTTTTTTTGAAAACTTTCGATAAGTCATGACAACTTAATTGTTAAATATTGTTTTATTTATCTATCTACAAATCTCATATTTTATAGTCACAACTAAAAATTCGTAATTATTTAATGAACAATGTTAATTTCAGAAATTGTCTTTTATATTCACATAGTTCAACTTAACTGATGATTTCTTGGTCCATATTTATTTAACTATAAAATCTTTTAAAGTTTAGAAAGAATCTCATATTATATGGTTTCTTGGTACATATTTTTTTCTTTTTTTTTATACACATTTATTTTATCTCATATCCAAATTATAAATTTTAATGCGAATCTTGATATCTCATATTTATTCTATATATAAGTTATATATATTCAGAAAGCATGACGATCATGTAATTAATTTTATCATATATCATGTGTTGGATGTTATTGGTTTTGTTGGGAACACTCATAATATCCAAATAAATAATATATATTTTTTTTTTCATATTTTGTATTTCTTTTCTTACAATAAGGATATGTTAAACATAAATAATTATGTTTAATATAAAATTTTAGAAAATATTTTAAGTAAAAACTCATCTGTGCATCGCACGGGATACACACTAGTAGTAAATGATTATGATATAATTTTAGTGCTCCAGAAATTCCCCTAATGGGCTAACCGCCCCTCCCAATACTCCACTGACCCAACCAGGCCGGAACACTCCGCAGCCCCCCGCCATCGGCCGCGGCGTCTATCGGACAACAGCCGCTAGCTCCGCCCGCCTTTCCTCGCTCGCCATTGCAATTTGTGCGAAATCTGAATCAGTCGAGGAGGTGGAGAGGGGAGAAAGCCACCGCTACGCCGTCGGGCCCTGGAGGAGCCAGATGCACGCCGGAGTTAGGAAGATTGATAGGGAATGAATATTATTATTATAATAATAATAATAATAATTATTATTATTATTATTATTATTATTATTATTATTATTATTATTATTTTTATTCCTTTTATGATTAGTAGTTAATTGGTAAGAGAATAATTACTTGCTTAGTGGACAAGTAAATAATTATCTAGCTTGTTGGGCAAGTTTAAGAGACTAAGATTAGAA